CAAAGTGTAAGATGAATTGCAGGAGTATCTACACACTTCGTCTTGTATATTTGTACATAATAGCTGTATTTCCAAGAAATTAGAAAGCCCTATACAGCCTGGCCTTGAACACTTCCAGGGATGGGACATCAGGAACTTCTATGGGCAACCTGTTCCAGTGCCTCACTACCCTCATCATGAAAAATTTCTTCCTTATATCTAGTCTACCCTCTTCCATTTTATTTTCTGTTTATTGTTATTATGTATTTTGATCCTAACAGCTTGCTTAATAGAGGATAAATAGTGCAACAGTGCATCATAATCCCTTATATGTTCCATAGATCTTAAAATATGATCACAAGAAAATATATTTTATACATGAAGGCTGAGTTGTTTTTCCACAAGTGTTGAAAAAATGTGTACTTTCCCCTTGTTGGCTAAACCCACAAACGTGACTGGGTTTTCAGAGGAAAGATGGTCTTGTCAGTAAAAGAATGTATTTGCTTTCTGAACTGGTTGCAGGAGTTATTAGAGAAAACTGTTTCATGTATATGTGTCAGTGTGAGTATCTGACATGTAAAAATTCTCCTATGGAAAATCCATGAGGTCACCCCCATTGAAATCATGGGATCCAGCTAACTGTGGGGAAGGTGCAGGACTTGACTGAAGGAAATACCGAGTACGTTGTGTACAGAAAAGTTCTTGAAAAGCATAATTACTTCAGCCTCCATAGCAATTAAGGTATAAAATATTCTGGGTTATTTATTCCTATTGTTCAGGCAAAAATCACTAATCAGTCATGATGTGGAGAACTGTTGTTTCCCTGGAAGGTAACTTGCTTCCTTAAGGTTCATGTTTTTTCTCCTGTTTTTTCTTTTTTCTTTTTTTTTTTCTTCTTTATCAATAAAAACATAAGTGTACTTAAACCAGAGGGAAATGGGGGAAAAAAAGCACTTGAAGTTGCAGTTTTGTGTAGCACAGAAAATGCTTACTTAAGAACTGTCACTTTGTTACCTGCATCCCTTCCTGCCATCGGTCTTACCCTGTGCCCCCTTTATGAAATCACCGGCAATTAACGATGAAATTGTATGTGAGATGTACATTATGGAAGGGCTGGTACAAAGCACAAAATGGCTAAGAAATTCCAAAAGCCAGTTTCTAAGCTGTTTTAGGTTTCCCTGTTATGGTGAACAGAATGCAGTCACAATCTGGAATAATAGAATCATAGAATGCTTTGGGTTGGAAGGGACCTTAAAGATCATCCAGTTCCAACCCCCCTGCCCTGGGCAGGGACATCTCCCACCAGACCAGGTTGCTCCAAGCCCCATCCAGCCTGGCCTTGAACCCCTCCAGGGATGGGGCAGCCACAGCTTCTTTGGGCAACCTGTTCCAGTGTCTCACCACCCTCACAGGAAAGAATTTCTGGTATCTAATCTAAATCTCCCATCTTTCAGTTTAAAACCCTTACCCCTTGTCCTATTTCTACACTGCCTCATAAAGAGTCCCTCCCCATATCAAAGTTCAAAGCTGAACCCTGTATTGTTGATTGCTTTTTTAGGACTGAAAGTAATTTCTGCCCACCCCCCAATCCTGTCCCTCCCCAAAAGCCTCCTCTTTCCTTGCAGTGAGGACTTTTTGAGGTGTAATGACATGATTTGAGCGTTGAGATTGGTGTATGGGGAATGCGCCTCAATATTTGCTTTTTCCTCCATTGTATGTTCCTTCCTTCCTCTTCTCCGCTCCTCAGCCTGGTTTCTGCAGAGCAGCTGAGGACTGCGGTGGCATGGGGAATTCCTGGAAATCTAAGTTTGTTAGCATTGCTGGCTGAATGCTATGTAATTTGATTTAACAATGCTTTGCTTCCTAGTTTGGGTATGTGGCTTGGTAGGAATTCTGACAGAAAACTTAATAAACTCTTAAATCCAGAAAGGAAAACATGTTATAAAAGGGAGACTGGAATCCTAAGACTTATTATAGTCAGTGGATAGAGAAGGAATAATTTTTTTTTCTAATTCTCTTTGTGATAAAATGAGTAGTATATTAGTGTAGTATTTTAATTTCTCTTATTTATAAGGTCTGCTTTGTGTCTGATTGAGACGGCTGTGAATCCGTGAATCTAGTTGAAGATTCTTTTTTTTTTTTCTACATGATAGTATTATCCCTGTTACTGCTTTCCTCTTCATGTACTTATGTATAGTTTTCTCTCTGTGTGATCTTCCTGGAGTACTGAGAGAAAGAGCACTAAAATAAAGTACAAAGGAATGCATTTAGATTAAACACTAGAGAAAAAGATGATGTAGTTTTTTCTTCTACAGAAACTAAGGTATTTGTATAAGATATAGGTGATCTTGAAATGTTTACTTTAACAAAGGGCATTCATCATGTAATACAAATATGCATTGATGGCTTTTGTCCTCAGCATCTATATAATTTGATTGATTTTTTTTTTATAGCTATATTATTATATCCATTATAAAATGGAAAAATGCCACTGTAGAAGGTTTAACATTGAAAACTAAAGGATGCAGGGGGCAGGGACCTTTCCTTAGTTCAGGACTCCTCTGCAATAGAACTTAATAGGAGACTATCCCCCCGCTGCCTTCCTTTTCAAAGGAAGGAACTTGCATTTGGAGAGTTTTTCAAGATACTAATGTACCCTTAAACTCTGTTGTATCTCCCATGGTAACTCTGCTGGTGTACACACAGACTATAGCTTCTTTCCCGTGGACTGCCATGTCCATAATACATTTTTCCATTGCTCCCATCTCATTCAGGTCATGTACCTTTCCTTGCAATGTTTTTTTATAGGCAGGAGAGCCTGGGTGTCTGGGAAAGGGGAAAGGATATCAGAGGTGGTTGTTTAGATCTGAAGAAGGGGAAATCTATGGGAAAACATCCCTTTTCACTGCCCATGTGCTGTGTACACAAAAACCCTATAGACAGTAGTCGGCTAAAGGTATTTCATGTTAATAGATTGATCAGTTTAGAATGCACGGCAACAATTACCTTGCCTAGCTATAGCTATTCTAATGGTAGGCTGCTTATCACAAAAATTTGTATTAAATAACAGAGATAATCCCTAACAGTACTGCATCCAGCTTTTAGAGGTAATGAAGCTAATGCAGTTAAGAATACAAGAAGTAATACTGGATGAAATTGTGGTAGAAAATTTTGGTTCTATTAAATCAATTATGCAAATATAAAATAATTTTTGGTAAAATCTAATCAGTTGTCAAGAATGAGAAAAATACATCTATTTCGAAAAATAAAACTGTCTTCAGTATAATCTAATCAACTGTCAGAAATGAAACATCTCTAATTTGATTAAAATGTCCCTGTTGACCATAGTCATTTTCGCTTGTCATAAATAAGAGAACTGAGGTTCTCAAGACAGAATGATAGCTTTTCTTATTGAATATCACTTCTAGTTTTCATAGTTACTGCCCTTTTTCTTTCACTGTTGTTGATTGATTCACTGATGTTTGAGGGCTGATGTGCCTTGCGCTTGGCCAACATTATCCACAGTAATGTTGCTTTTTTCCATCCCAAAGTCTGTGCTCCTATTAGCTTTTGTTAATTGTACAGTCTGTAGATCTTACCTTTGCTAATTTATCCTTATGTATTATTCTAACTTGAGGAGACGAAAATCATAGGAATCTCTCTGGTTCAAATTTTAAAGACAAGGCAGCTGCCAAGCAGTCTGTTATTTATTATCTGTATTTAGATAGCCTCACTTGCTAATAGTAGAGGTACATATACTCAAATCATTCACCGAGAAGGGCCTGAGAGCAATGAATGCATGCTCTGAGACTAAGGTGTCTTTATCCTGGATTTCTTTGTCCAGGAATGATACTCATATATGTAAGATGCGGGGGGAGGGGATGGTGAGGGGAAGGTACTGTCTATTCCTGGGCTAATGTGGTTTTTTTCATATGCTTCTGTTCCTAGCTACTCCATTTCTTTTTTGTTTTATACTGTGTCAGTCTCTTCTGGTCTGAATTTTTCCTTTGCTCTTGTTGTAATTTGGCCCTTGCAAATGACACATTGCTCAGCGTATAAAGAGATTCCACTTATGGTCTAAAATTAGCTTTCTAGTCTAAACTTGTCATCTAGGCAGCCTCTGTAATCAATAGCAAAAGATAAATACCACAAGAAGGCAATTCATCACATTTTAAGATTGTGTTGAAACTGGAGGGATTAATTGCTGTCTGGGCCACCTGTCTCTATCTGTTGATTAAAGAGAGAGCCCGAGATGACAATCTCGGGTGAGGTACCTGACTTCCAGATGGCTAAAATTAGATGAAAAGAATCCTACCTGTTGTGCAAGGAGTGGTGTTGGTAATGCGTTGCCTTTTTAAGGGCTGTCCTACAGAGGTAGAAATGGCATAAATTGGAATGAGATTGCACCCGCAGTTTGATTTTTTTTTAATTTTTTTTTTTTTTTTTTTCCTGAACTGATCTGCAATGGTGCCAACGGTTATATTTGATTTTTTCAGTAGTGACTTCAGCAATGTTGTGACATTCTAGAAATCAAACCCCTGCTATTCTGTTCGAATAGTTAATATTTATATAGCTCTCATGTGACTTTCTAGCCAAACTGCAGAATCCATTTCATTTCTGACATGGGGACTTAAAAGCTTGAGAACGTTTGTGACAAGGCCACACAGCACTGTACAACAATGTAGTTCGTTACAATCCTGAAACCTGTTTTCAAACCACAGGGAACTAAGTATACTGATAGATAGGATCTACTATTGCAGTGGTTGTTACTGAAAGAGAAACTTCCCCATACAAGGTGTCCACATAAAATTTGAGCATAAACAATCGATAACTTTTGGTTATCAATGCTGCACATAAGCATTTGGAATTATAAAAATCAAATTTGCAAACAAATTTTATGGGCAAATACTGTATGGAAAGGTTTTTGAGCAAAACTCGATATAAGAAAATGTTTATGAGTTAGTTATTTCAATAACAAAACTCGTATTTTCTTCTTTTAATGCTTGATCTTCTTTTGACAGTGCTGTAACTCACCGCTGAACCAAGACGCTGGGAACAGTTCATAGCATCAGAAACTTCATCCACGTAGACTGATGACATCTCTCCAGTCTCCAGAAACTGTGAACTGAAGCTACAAATCTTTATGGAATTTATATTACCTGTGTCAAAGGGCATGTTTCTCTGATATTTCACGAGGACCCTTTACTGCCAGTATGACGAGCCAGGACAAGTGGGTTAATCTTAGTCCTGGAGAGTTCTCCCAGCTTCAGAAATATGCAGAATGTAAGTAATTTATAAAATATGTGATTTTATTGCTTACTAAAAACTAAGAATATTTTGAATGCAGAATATAATAATATACTCTTGATATTATTCACTGTGATCAAATAAGAGGTTAAATTATGGTTTATGTTTTTTAATCCAAAAGATTTGGAGGGGGGGGAAAAAAAAGATCAGTTCAGGTGTTTGGTATTTTTAGTGGTTTTTGGTTTTTTTTTTATTTTGTTTTTAACTGAACCATTATTATTCAGTATGGTACCATGTAGACTAACTATGGGTTACGTGACTTCTGGATATTTGGAGAGTGTATTTTTTTGGCTTTGTCACCTTAAATTCACCATAACAATTACTTTGGTTCTTGCTCAAGCAAAACTTCCCTTAAGTAAGAGCAACTTCAATGGCTCAGAATTGTGCTAAGAGGACAGATACTGAACACGAGAAGTTATATTTAGGAGATAGTTTATGAAGCCTGATAAGAACTCAACTGGAAAAGGTCAAGAACATTTAGGAAGTTTTCCTGTATTATAAGTAATCCAAATTTATATTTAAAAAAAAAAAGGAGAAAATCTCATGTGATTTGTGAATGTTGTTCATTTATTACTGAAGGAAACATTTGCATGTAAGGTAAAATGAAGACTAGAGATCGGTTTTTTTGCGCCTATGACATCGCAACATATACTTAATTGTGTTTTGGTGAAGTTTAATACAGTATGGAATTTATAGCAAAGTGATTTGTTTTCCACTCGCCTGCTGTTGAACTCGAAGGTGTCATTTGCTCTGCCTTTCATTCAGTTTACCTGCTGATAATCTGGGGGTGTCATTTGCTCTGCCTTTCATTCAGTTTGGAACTAAGAGTATAGTCTCCCAAAAACCCATCTTCCTTGGACGTCAGTGACTTCAGGTTATACTCTTAGTGGCTGATAGTCACATCTAGTTAATAAGGTCACTGGAATCAGAATTACTTTTGTAGAGCTGTGGTGGGCCTGCCAAGCCACTCTATCACCCCTCGCTTTCTTCCCTGGCTTCAGCATGGGATCCTCCAAAAAACTTCTCCAACGTGGCTCCTTCCCACAGGCTGCAATTCTTCATGAACTGTTCCAGCGTGGGCTCTCCAAGAGGTCACAGCCTCCTTCATGCATCCACCTGCTCTGGCATAGGACAATATCACTGGCTGCAGGTGGATATCTGCTCCACCATTAACCTCCATGGACTGCAGAGGGACAACCTGCCTCACTGTAGTCGTCACTGCCTGCATCACCTCCTCCCCCTTCTTCTTCATGGACCTTGGTGTCTGCAGAGTTGTTGCTTTCACATATTTTTGTTCCTCTCTCCAGCTGCTGTTGTAAAGCAGATTTCTCCCCCACCCGCTTCTTAAATATGTTATCCCACTGATGCTACCACCATCTTTGGTGGTAGCTTTGGCCAGAGGTACGTCCAACTTGGAGCTGGCTGGCACTGACTCTATCAGACATGGGGGAAAGTTCTGGCATTTCCTTACGGAAGCCACCGCTGTAGCCTCCCCTGCTATCCAAACCTTGCCACACAGCCAGTACAACAGCAGGCTGAAATATGAAAAGAACTCTTCTTTAAAATTCATTATACAAACATACATTGGATTATTTTTTAAGCTGAGTCAGTTTATGCAGGTATTTGATAATAAGATATGCATAAGACTGAAAGTAGTACAGAACATCAAACAGTAAGAGCTACAGAAAGTGCTTTTTCTGATATATTCGGGTACACACATTTTGGTGTGCAAATAAAAAGTACTAATACTGAATAGTAAAGACTTAATTAAAAGAAAACAAAGAAATTCTTAAACAAGCTGTTAGAGGAGTGTACTATACTGACCTGAGCTCAGTGGGGAAAATTCAGAGTTCATGCTTACACCTCTGTATCACATTGCCATGCTCAACTACAAAGTGTTGATGATTCACAGCATCTTCTATCACTGATGCAAAGCAGATACCTTTAGCAGGTGAGCCCAAGGAGTGGGCGTGCTGAGGTGCCTTGTGCTAACAAGTGGGAAGCTTTAAGCACAGGGTGTATTTCGATTTCTGCTTCTTCTTGGAGCCTAAGCAAATCTGGTTAAGAAAGTTTGCTCATTCGTTTTCAGGAGAGGAGTCACTGTTCTGCATTTCATGTGCTCATCCACCCAGAAAATATCCTCTTTAAAATGCATTTGCCGGTGTTCTGCATATTTACTTGGTGGTCAGAAAAAAACCCTCACAGACTTTCCCTTCTCAAGCTGAATCCCCTCAACTGAAGCTGGTTATAGAGTGAGATAGATAGTGTTTTGCTTGTGTGACACCCGCAGTTGCTGCCCTCTACACAATCCCACACCACCTTCCTGGTTTGATAACCGTATTGGAAGGGGGAGTAACCCAGACTATTCTGCTGTATAGCTGGTGGGGCATACTTGTAGGAGTGAGGGATTTGGGTTTGAATCTTTTGAGGCTGAAGGCCAGTTTGAACCCATGTTCTCGGTCTTTCCCCTAACCAGAAGGCAAGCCTGTCTCACTTCCACCTCTTTTATGAAGATGACTCTTGCTGCCAGACTTTGCTGAAATCAGTCACATCTGCAAGTGTGGTGGATTCTGAGAACAGCAGAGGAATGGGTCCACCCAGGTTCTAAGAGACAAATTAAGTGCTGCTCCTTATCTTCAGACTGCAGCAGAACTCAGGAGGCACCTAGATGAGCTGCTTCTCTTTGGAATCAATTTAGTTTAGTTGTGTAAAGGAATGGTCAAACCATATAGAGATACAGCTGCACAGATAATAAGCTTAAAGTACCTCCAGAGTTAGGTTGTATGTGCAGACCTGTAGCTGATCAAGTGTGGGCTTTATAGATCCAGCTGTCCTGGACTTAGAGATCAGAATTCAGCCTAAATCCCTTTTTAGTCACCAAAGTGTATGGATCTTTCACTATATAAAGCACATTAAACTCATGTGGTTTCTAGTGCTCTGACAGAGACATGTGCTTTCCACTTTTCTGACTGAAGGACATCTTACTCCTGTTCACTGTAATTTAATTACATTAATTAATCTTCTATTGTCTTCAAGATGGCCTGTCTACCTGTTAAACAAACCAGACCCGCTCCCAACTCTGTGTGCAGGTACTGTCTTTGGTACCCTATTGAGAAGTTCCTACCACATCTCTTCTGCCTGTCTTCTTCATCATGTATTTGCGGTATGATTCTCAGCTTCATCCACAGGTATTGTCTGGTGAACACAATCCCTGAATGTAAAATTTCTTTCCTGAATACATAACAGCTTTTCCCATTTTTCCATAAATGGAACTGAACAGCAAAGGAGAATGAATTCTCCACCACTTGTTCTGAATCACAAAGCACCTCAAATCATGAATTACCTCAAAGTGGCACTCAGGACTTTATAGTGACTATCGTCCAGTAAATTAATCCAAGGAATAGCCATAATTTTGTTACGATGAATTATTTTTGAGCTCAATTCAAGGCAACTTTATACTTCCAGTTTCAGACCTACCTTCATCTGCTCGCCATACTTAAATAATTTTGGGCATCAAATGAATTTTTTGGAACAGTTCAAATATTACTTTAAAAAGAAGAAAAGTTTATTTCTAGAATTCAAAGAACATATTACCTAATACTTGGCTCTTTGAAGTTAATATGCATATGTGTGGTTTTTGGAAGCATAATTATTTCCAAAGACAGTTCCTCTGTGTCTTCCTTTCTGGTCAAATTAAAAATATTCTCTCTCCTCTTGTTCTGAAGAGGGCATGGTAGACACTATTTTGTGTTAGATCTTTGCCTGGTTTTAAAATGCCTCAGAAGAATACATCAAAACAGAAATAACTGGTGTGCTCATTATATAATAGTAGTAATAACAATAACAACAATAATGTATCCCACACCGAATCCTGAAGGTTCTAGGGAAATACATGCACTCAAGAGAAGAAAATTTGTATATTTCTTTTCTCTTTAGATTTCATTATCAATGCTGGCTGTGGGAAAGAAAGGTGAAAATAAGCAGGGTTTTTTTCTGCATAAAAATGTCACTGCGTAGGGTAAGGTATATACAGGACTTCTCAGGCAGAGATTCTTTCTTCTAAATTGTTTAGTATCAGGTATATGCATAGCTCTGTACTACCCCTAACAGCAGCCTCAGTTGTAAGGACATTAAAGAGAAACAGTATAAATAGCTTCATTGTGCTTGTTATCTGTATGGTAAGTTTAAGTATTTTGGAGAGGGGGGTTTGTATCCTTTTTATTAAATTAATTTTATACCTCCTTTTTATTAAAGCTTTATGGCTGATTTAGTGCATGCTATATGTTATGGGGAATTTAGAGGATCTTGCTTCACAAGCAAGCGAGAAAATATTGAAGGGATTGGAAGCAGTTAAAGCAAGACTGTTTCATGATTCAGCTGGACTTTTAAAGAAAGAAGGAAGGTTTGCCCTTCCCTTAGTAGGCGGAGGAAAGGCTTCTGAGCCCTGGCAGCATGTGCACTCTGGGGAAATAGCTTGGTTTGGTGTTGTCCTTTTGAGTTTGTCAACAAAATGTGCCCTGAGGAAAAGGCCTGAAAAAAACTTTTTGCAAAACTTTTGGCAGTGGCTTTTTTCCCAGGCTGGTGGAGGAGAAGTTGGGCAGACTGTCACAGCCTGAAGATAGAAATAGATGCTGGAGTGCTACTGGGATGGCTGTGAGAACAGGAACAGCATCAGCAGCTGCAGCATCTTTTGATGTAGCATCAATAGCAAGAACGAGACAGTGTAAGAATTTTATAGGGGAACAGGAAGGGGGGAACTTGTGAAAAAGAATCTCTGAAGAGAAACAGGAAGGTCAGCAGAAGTTTTGGTCCAGAATGAAGCTGCCAGAGACTCTTGGGTGGGTTTGGTTCTGTGGCCCTCACAGATGGAAAAGATTTTCTTTTACAATGGGTATAAATGATAACCTGCGGGGAACTTCATACATGTGGCAGCTGGTCACCAGCAGCAATGGACCATTACACAATCCCTCAGAGGG